TCATCCGGTGTTGTACCTGATAGGATGAAAATAGCAGGAGTTATACCAGTATATAAGAAAGGGCCTAAACATAATGTCTCAAATTATCGACCTATCTCTTTGCTTTCAATTTTTAATAAAATTTTAGAAAAACTAATGTACAAAAGATTGATAAAGTTTCTTGAACAAAACCAAGTTTTGTTTGATGGACAGTTTGGTTTTCGTTCTAATTTATCAACAACTCACGCAATTTTGCTCATTACCGATAAAATTCAAAAAGCAATTGAAAACAAACTTTATTCATGTGGTATTTTTCTAGACCTAAGTAAAGCTTTTGACACTGTTAATCATACCATTTTGTTAAAAAAACTTGAAAATTATGGAATTAGAGGAATAGTAAAAGATTGGTTTTGTTCCTATCTTTCAAATAGGAAACAATTTGTTAAGATTGGCACTGCGACATCTGATTACGAATTTATTACCTGTGGTGTCCCTCAGGGATCTGTACTTGGACCATTATTGTTTTTATTATATATAAATGATTTCAATAATTGTGCAAGTGAAATAGATTTTCATTTGTTTGCTGATGATTCTAATCTTTTCTGTTGTCATAAAAGTCTTCAGTATTTAGAGACAAATGTAAATAATCAATTATGTAATGTTAATGAGTGGCTTTGTGCTAACAAGCTATCTCTAAATATTGACAAATCTAATTTTGTTCTTTTTTATCCACCTCAAAAAACTCCTGATATCTCTATTAGTCTTAAAATTAATGATCAAGTTATTAAAGAGAAGAAAAGCATGAAATATTTAGGTGTTTTTATTGACCGTCACCTGAATTGGAAGGATCATGTACACGAACTTTCAAAAAAGATTTCTAGGGGTATTGGTGTTTTATTAAAACTCCGTAAATTTGTCTCTACGCATATTCTTTTGCAAGTGTATTATTCAATTATTTATTCCTTTTTGACATATGGTATTTTGATTTGGGGAATTACTTATAAAACTAATTTACACCCTTTGATTGTTTTACAAAAGAAAGCTATACGTATTATTACTTTTTCTGATTTTCAAGCACATACTTCACTTCTTTTCAAAAAACTCAATCTTTTAAAATTTTTTGACATTGTTGACTTGTATACTGCCGTATTTATGTTTCAGTACAGTAAAGGCAATCTCCCAGTCAATTTTGATGTATATTTTAATCCAACTTGTAACACGCATCTGTATAGTACCCGTGTTGCATCTAGATCAACTTTTTCCTTACCACTTATTCGCACTAATTATGGTTTATTTAATATTCGATTTTGTGGACCTAAGTTATGGAACAATATTGATGAATCACTAAAATCCTTAACTGAATTTTCCTTTAAAAAGGAATTTAAAAATCAGCTAATCGCCTTCTACTAGAATTAAATTCATTTATCCTTAAATTATCTATTTATATATCTATATTTATTGGCTCAGTGTGTTTTTTCTTCTTTTTTTTCTTTGTATTATGTTGTATTGTAACTGGTATTGTTTTTTGTTTTGAAATTTTGTAAATATTCTTTGAACTAGCTGCTTCTTGTTATTCAGTATTATTTTTCGGTTATATTAATTTGAAGGTCACCTGCCTAGTCTAGCTCCTTAATAGTTATTGCAGGTGGCCTATACTCACTTCTTGTAATTCATATGTATTCTGTAATTTCTAACTTTTTGTAATTTCTGAGTATTAATAAAAATTATTGTTGTTGTTTATCAACTAAGCAATGACAATTTCCGATTGGTCCATGCAAGAAAACGTGGGCGGAGACCAGCGCGCGAACGAGGAGGAACCATGTCGAAAAGGCGCGGGATGCAATAGTGGCGATGTTAGATGTGGTGACACCAGGTGATGGGGCACTTCTCTGGGAAGCGCTGCAGTCATCGGCACTTGTGGAGGAGGCTCTGGGGATACAAAAAACATCTCCCGCAGAGGAAAAGTATCTACTAGCACTCGCAGAAACATACAGAAATGCGTCTGGATGGGACACGCGAAGACAAATTCTTTCTGTGATGGCCGACATTGTACCCTTCGCACGTTTACAGCAGTATTTGCCCAATGTCACTGAATACCGCGTCAAGATTGCACAAAGTCACAGGCTGACGTTCGGTAGAGGCGTTCCCCGACCACCTACCAAAAGAGCACGAATGAAAGTGGATAACAGCCAGCTAGACCACTTCCTCACATTCATCACCAGCAGACATATCGTACAAGACCTGCCCTTTGGACAGAAGTACCTGAAACTTTCCACTGGAGAGATCCTTGAAACGCCAAACGTCATCAGAAGTATGATCCCTGAGCGTATTGTTCAGCAATACCAGCATTATTGTGAGGAGACAGCGTTCACTCCATTTGGCCGAACCACCATGTTGAACATCCTATCCGAATGTTCTGCAACTGTGCGCAAGTCTTTACAGGGATTTGACTACATCGCTTCCAACGGAAGCAAAGCCTTTGATGACCTGTGTGCTGCTGTGACGCGCCTTCAAGAGTGTGGATCAATCTCCAGGGAGTCCAAACACGAATGGCAAAGTTTACTGAAATCGGGTAAACACTATTTGAAGTCCGACTACAAGGTAAAGTGCACTAGAACAGTGGTAATCCATCTTGATTTGTAATTGTCTTATAATTAATATAGATAGATAGATAGATAGATAGATAGTTCACTTTTTGCAGTACAAATACTGAATTGGTAAGCGATTACAATATAAATAAGACTGAATACAAATAATATTACATTTAAAAAATTACAACCTATGCTATGGCTTACTAAAAAGATTATAAATATTAAAACTAACACTAATTTGTTGAATTACGATTATTTATGTCTAAACAACTAGCGATGACATACGAATTCTTAAAACGTTCAGTATAGAATTTCGGAACATGTATCGTCTTGTTGGTTCGTAATTGGTAATTTAATGGAGTATCTATTTTAGGGATTAAATTATGAAGTTTATGGTTCGGGTAGCAAAACTAATAACTATAACCTCAATTTGTAGGTTCATGTGTCGAGATCGGGCACTGTAGCTTGACCACCGCAGCACATTTGCGCTGAGTGAAGCAAAAGACAAATGTTTCAGTAGCACTTGCGACCATACACACGATGACGAGTGTCCACAGTGTGAAGCCCTCGACAATGTGCTGGCCGATATTGGAGATGTCTTCAATAACGATGCCATTGCCATTGCAGAGGATGAACTAGTGGATCTCCGGTACACCTGCCAGAAAGCGACACAAGATGCCAAGTCATGGAAAGGGCACCAACTTCGAAGCATCACACAAGATGAGTCTCGACTAGATGTTCTGAGGCGGCTTGATCAGTCATCTGTGCTTATAACAAACGACTGGGCAATGAAGTTTCTACCTCAGAAGTACAGGGAATCACAGTCGGACTGGTTTGCAAAACGAGGGATCTCCTGGCACATCAGCGTAGTTGCGAGAAAGGTCGAGAATGTTATGGAGACACAAACCTTTGTGCACCTAGTGGAGAACTGCAGTCAAGATGCTTCCGTTGTGGTCAGGATCACTGAGCATGTGTTGCGCACACTCCACGAAGACAGCGCCATGATTACCAATGCATACCTGCGACAGGACAACGCGGAGTGCTACCATAGCGGGTCCACACTGACAGCATACCTTCACATGGAGTGCAAAACTGGTGTCAACGTCTCACGAGTGGATTTCAGCGAACCACAAGGTGGAAAAGGCCCATGTGATCGTAAAGCCGCCACCATCAAAGCTCACGTTCGACGGTTTATCAACGAAGGTAACGACGCGACCACAGCGCGGAAGCCGACATATAATTAACTAAGATTTCCGATTATACGCCACCCCTCCAAAAACTTCTTATGCTAGGAGCGGTCATCTCATTGGACGATTCTAAATGTAATTGACGTTTCAGCAAGAATACTGGCAAAGGATTGGATAACTTTGATCTCTGACGTCACTTTCCTGTGATATTGCTCGAAACCAAATACAGTACCGTTTCGTTCCTGCGGGGAACGAAACAAAAAATGGCAGATTTAGACCTGCGTGAGAAATGCTAATTGGAAGCAATTCAATAAACTGGCACATGATGATTTCTCTTCACTAAATTAAAATTCCACGCATTGAGGAAATCTTGTACGAAATGAAAGTGAAGTGCATTTCAAATCACGCACAGACATTGATGTCATAAACCCTGATCTGATAGGCTAACACAGATTACGCCCTAATTAAAAGTTCCTTGAATTTCGCTTTAAATATAAATTTGACATTCAGCTACTTCCCAGTTACATTCGAGTTCTGTGTCAAAATGTCCAGACATCTTGCGCTTATTTTGCTGGCCGCTGCTTTAAGCAGGTATGTATGTACAATTTTCTTGATATAGCATATAGATTGATTTAAGTTCTATTTATCTAGATCTATACCGAGTATTGCGCTTCATTTGCATAGTCTGCGCAATTAAGAATTACATGCAAAGATTCAAAGATTCAACTGCGCACAACATGATTATGCTTTAAACTATACCACGATTTGGGGACGAATTGTACAGCTTGTGCTTGTGTGGGAAAGTTGATATATCATGATAATATTAAAACCCAAAATCGCTCATGCGCAACATGTTGTTGCATGTCAATACGTGTTGTATTACGGCGCTCTTTTACATTAGTATTTGATAATTTCCAAAATCCATTTTAGGCTATTAATGCGCAACCTAGCACATGCACATTCACTTCTAAAGTATTTGTGTATGGCGTTCTATATTATGCAAAACAAGTAAAACAATTTGAATTGTGTAACTTTATATGCTTGCCATTATTTGCAGTTTGCATTGGACGTCAATTTATCTCTACGTTTGATTGCGCACCATCATAATAAACAGTTTCTATTGTGGTATTCATGTTTCAATAATGGATAAATCAGATTATGGTTATTGTTTTTAACTAAATTTACTTGTCAGTGGTGTTTGAAATATGATTCGATGCATGTAATTTCGGCACAGGCAATAACGGCAAGGTGGTTAAAATAAACATAACATAAACATGCAATGGTTGCCAATTTCGCCATAAACAACGGCGTGAGCAGCCACAGTTTACTTGCATTGCGGTTCCCTCTTCAATGCGGAAATTAAATTTGATCTCACGAATGTTTGCACTGTAGCTAGATTAGAACACTCTAGTTAAATTGCTAAAGGTTTTCAAATAAAAAAAAACGTTTTCTGATATGCCTTGAAACCCCTTCAACTTAGTTATATATAGGAAATATATCACTATGAAATCTGAGAAATAATATATCACTATAAAATCTGCGAAATGTATCACTATGAAATCTATTTCTTATATTTATCGGAGCTTTACCGTACGACACGCCTTGGGTTTAGACTTGACCGATAGTTAAATTTGCGAAAATATTTTTATACAAAATATAATAATAATGCTTCTTAACCAAATTCTAGAAAATGGCCAGTAGTTCGAGAGGGTGCAAGCTTAGGACAAAATGCCAAAGTAATCTCTCAATAAGATGGCGCAGAGCGTAGCGGCATACTTACAGGTAGTCGCGATCTATGCTAAAACGGATTTTAACGTTTTGATAGGATTAGTGGGGGAAAACAAAAGAATTATATTTTATTATCTGCGGGAATTTCATTCCAGTATATTCTAATTGCATTCCATATTTCCATAAATTGCGCAAGCTATAGAAGTATCGATTTCATCAATACTTTTCACACCAGGTGGTGAATTAACGTATAGAACCTTTGTTTACACAAACTAATATTAAATGTTTACTTAACACATACCTGAAGAACAATAGTGTGTTTTCACATGACGTCACGGCATAAATTAATTTTATACGCCGCCATGTTGGTGGAGTGAAGTTCCAACATGGCGGCCAGCGATTCGAAACTAAACGTAAACAGCGAGGCAGAAAAAGCAATTATTCATGAGATTCCTTTGTCTGAACATGCAAAATCTCTCGAATACAGATTGTGGTGTATTTCAAATGATTAATCATATATCAAATGATTCAGATTGTGGTGTATTTGCAATCGCTTTTGCGACAAGTCTTGTTTTAATACACAATGGATCGGTCATCGGTGGATCCAAATATCCCACGATTTAATAATGTACATGTATTAATACAGATGCGAATTTACTTGTATGCTTGCCTGAAAGCTGGTCATATTACTCTTTTTCCGACGGCTGAGAGCACAAAATAAAAAAGCTTACACCAATATTCAGTTGCATTTTTATTGAACTAACTGTTAAAATTATAATATATAAAACTCTATCAAAGATACAAACTTTTTGCATTTGAAAATTATTACAGACTTAAGACTTTGATAAACATTAAACATTTTTGGTGGTCAAGACTAAGAACCTCCACATGGTGAGTCATTGGTGACCACTTGGGCAACAGCATGTTGTGTGAACACGGCGCGGATTAGCATACCAGGACCCCTATATTGTTTAACTGGACAACATTTTATTTTACATATTATTTGTACAATGTCATATGTTGGTCTGTTAAAGTGTTAATCTACCCCTGTGTGATTGCAAACTTTTGCACAACCTTTTGGCTAATCTCAGCACTTTACACAAAATATGGCTTTGTCAAATCATATCTATGGGACCCTAAAATAGTTTATTGCCCTGGCCTACCCCAAGTCTTTGGGTGGCCCAATCAATTAGTTAACCCCCACCAATACTACAGTCCCAATAGACATGGTTTTTACATTGTTTCAATGCTCATGGTATTCAAACAGGCCTAGTTGAAATAATGATGTATTTATTCCCCATATCACAAGCCCCCATGAGAATTGCATGAAATATTATTGCTGAGATTAGCCAGCATGTCGTGAAACAAACAGGGGTAGATTTTTTACTTTGCAGCTGCAAAGGGCTCTCTTTTTGACAAAGTACAATTAAAGTAGCCTACTAATCCACCCCTAATTTACACAACATGCTGTTGCCCAGTGGTCACCATGAGGAGGTTCTCAGACTTGACCACCAAATTTTCAAATGTTGAAAGAATGTGTTTCTGTCTCTTGGTGAAAACATAATGTCGTAAAATACTTTACTTCAATCAAAAGGTATATAGTATGAAGGCAAAGGTTTACTAGTGCAGAGCAAACTTTAATCATTATGTCAATGAGAGGAACAGACTCTCCTTTTCTGCAAATAAGGTAATCAGTTCATTCAGTCGGCAAAGTTTGTTGAAGAATGGTATATTTCGGTCTCAGTAAACCAATAATTCTTTCGACATGTATCCGGACAGTAGCAATCTTTCTTGTCTGTTCCACATCAACAGAATCAAGTTGGTCTTTTCCTTTTGTGAATGCTGGAATGTTCAATTTGGCTTGGTGAAACTGAACACTTTCATGAACAGTGAAACGCCTATCCGCCAGATCCAAATCACCTGGTATAAGGTTGTCCAGTAAGCCACAGTTCTCAGTCAGAAACGTATCTGAATTCCTCCCTCCCCAAGCTTCACTGACAAAGCAAAATGTACCTTGTGTTGTAATTCTAATTAACACTTTAACAGTGTTATGATGCTTGTAGCTTGAAAACGTCTGTGCCCTTGCAAGGAGATTAGTTTGTCTATCAATAAAAGTCAGCAGAACATATGGTTTACCCAGAAATTAGAACTCGGATTGAAGCATAGAATTATGACACTCTCTTGTCTGAATGCCAACTGTTGTGGATTTGTGGTTGAAACGTCTGTTTGTGTTATGGGTTTATGGCCGGCGTTTCTCAAGTTTTCTGGAAAATTGTCTGCGATTTGCCGATATCGTCCATAGTCATAGGATCAAATAAACATTTAACAACCTCGCTAGGTTCGTTTACTCTCTGTAACTTCTCTTTGACCATTTCTTCTGTATTCTCCGGCGACTCCAATTTAATATGGCCGACAGCCATCTTCGTCGATTCTTCGACTGCGTTTGGTTCACAAAATCTCCATTTCCTCGCCTTGATTTTTAATAAATTTCGGCACCCGGCAGAAAGAAAGATCTTTACGTTTTCGATTTGTTATTTGAACTGTTTAAAA